AGTGGTTGAGAGTCCGCCTGCTGATGCAGGGGACATGGGTTCGTGCCCCGGTCCGGGAAGATCCCACATGCCGCAGAGCGGCTGGGCCCGTGAGCCATGGCCACAGAGCCTGTGCTCCGCAATGGGAGAGGCCACAACAGTGAGAGGCCCGCATACAGCAAAAAAAAAAAAAAAAAGTCCTAGAGGAAAACATAACCAGAACACTCTGACATAAATTGTAGCAATATTGCTTTCAATCTGTTTCCTAAGGCAAAGGAAACAAAAGCAAAAATAAACAAATTTAAAAGCTTTTGCACAGCAAAGGAAACTACTGACAAAAGACAATCTACTGAATGGAAGAAAATATTTGCAAGTGTTATGACCAATAAGGGGTTACCATCCAAAATACATAAACAGCTCATACAACACAATATCAAAAAACAAACAAAAAAAAAACAATTAAAAAATGGGCAGAAGACTTGAATAGACATTTTTCCAAAGAAAATATACAGATGACCAAAAGGCACATGAAAAGATGCTCAACAATGCTGATCAGAGAAATGCAAATCAGAACCACAATGAGATATCACCTCATACCTGTCAGAATGGCTATCATCAAAAAGAACACAAATAACAAATGTTGGCAGGGATGTGGAGAAAAGGGAACCTTTGTGCACTGTTGGGAATGTAAATTGGTGCAGCCACTGTGGAGAACAGTGTGAGGATTCCTCAAGAAAAAACAAAAATAGAACTACCATATGATCCAGCAATTCCACTCCTGGGTATGTATCCAAAAAAAAAAAATGAAAACACTAATTCGAAAAGATACATGCACCCCAATGTTCACTGCAGCATTTTTTACACTAGCCAAGATATGGAAGCAATCTAAGTGTCCATCAACAGACAAATGGATAAAGAAGACGTACATACTAGCCATAGAATATTAGCCATAGAAAAAGAATGAAATCTTGCCACTTGCAGCATTGTGGATGGACCTGGAGGGTATTATGCTTAGTGAAATAATTCAGACAGAGAAAGACAAATACCATGTTGTCATTTGTATGTGGAATCTGAAAAAAGAATATAACAAAACAGAAACAGACTGACACAGAGAACAAACTAGTGGTTGGTTACCACTGGGGAGAGGGAAGGGGGAGGGGCAAATAGGGATTTGAAATTGTCATAGTTAATACCTAACTGCATAAAAGCTGTACCAGTCACATCCCCAGTATAGGGAGAGCCTTCCCCTCACACCGTGCCAGCTCGCCTGGACGGGCACTCCCAGCAAAACACCTCTCTCAGCACAGTGATTTTCTTTTTTTTAAGAAGAGTTGGCTTTGTTTTTTCTTTTTCCTTTTGGCTGCGTTGGGTCTCTGTTGCTGCGCAGGCTTTCTCTAGTTGCGGCGAGCGGGGGCTACTCTTCATTGCAGTGGCTTCTCCTGTTGCGGAGCACGGGCTCTAGGCGCGTGGGCTTTAGTAGTTGTGACACACGGGCTTAGTTGCTCCGCGGCATGTGGATCTTCCCGGATCAGGGCTCGAACCCCTGTGCCCTGCACTGGCAGGCAGATTCTTAACCACTGCGCCACCAGGGAAGCCCCTTTAATATTTATTTAGTTGGCTGCACGGGGTCTTAGTTCCAGCACTCAGATCTTCGTTGCGGCATGCAGGATCTAGTTCCCCAACCAGGGACCGAAGCCAGGCCTCCTGCATTAAGAGCTTGGAGTCTTAACCACTGGACCACCAGGGAAGTCCCAGTACAGTTTTGTTTTTTGTTTGCGGTACGCGGGCCTCTCACTGTTGTGGCCTCTCCCGTTGCGGAGCACAGGCTCCGGATGCGCAGGCTCAGCGGCCATGGCTCACGGGCCCAGCCGCTCCGTGGCATGTGGGATCTTCCCGGACGGGGGCATGAACCCACGTCCCCTGCATCAGCAGGTGGACTCTCAACCACTGCGCCACCAGGGAAGCCCCCAGTACAGTTTTAATACGCCTGAGGGCAAAGTCTGTCCTCCTTTCAGAGTTGGGGTCATGTGACTTCCCTCCATGAGGACTGACCACGGCCTCTGTCTTCCTTTCATTGGGTCTTTTTTTTTTTTTTTTTTAACTTTTATTGGAGTACAGTTGCTTTACAATGTTGCTAGTTTCCACTGTATAGCAATGTGAATCAGCTATACATATACATATATCCCTTTTGGATTTCCTTCCCATTTAGGTCACCACAGAGCACCGAGTAGAGTTCCCTGCACTATACAGTAGGTTCTCATTACTTATCTGTTTTGTACATAGTATCTATAGTGTGTATATGTCAACCCCAATCTCCCAATTCATCCCACCCCCTCTTCCCCCCTTGGTATCCATACGCTTTGCTCGCTACATCCGTGTCTCTATTTCTGCTTTGTAAATAAGATCACCTATACCAATTCACTGGGTCTTTTTCTTGGTTTGTAGGAGCTCTTCATGAAACAAGCCCTTTGTCACATGGGTTGCAAGTTTAGCCTTGTATTTTTTTCCAATTTTGCCAAGAAGAAATGGCAGATAATTATGTAATTAAATTTATCAATCTCCTCTTTAATGACTTTGGGGGCCTGTGAGCTACAAAACAGGCCTTCTCCACTCAAGAGCATAAATATAATTGACTGCGTTTTTATGTGTGTTTGTGGTTTTACTTTTCACGTTTAAGTCTGAGTCATCAGGAACTTATTTCCATACACGAGTGAGATCCAATTGTATCCTTTCAGCTGCTTACCCAGTCCCAACGCTATTTATCGAATGATCCATCTCTCCCCTAAAGATACGGAAAGCCACCTTATACTCCAAATTTCTATTTTAAAGCCTAGCTTACCCAGCTGAAGTGATCCTTTCTGTGGCTTTCAGGTTTGACGTGCAGTCCATTTCCCTATCCATCTTTAAGAGTTCTCTGTTTGTAGCCTTAAATAGCACTTCTGAGTCTGAGCTGACACAGCACAGGTGAGGCCACTCTTCCGCCCGCGATCCCGCCCGGCAGTAACATCTAAGCACACCGCTTAGAAAAGGCTCTGGGGTGCCACGTGTATTGCTTATCTAATCTTCCCAGAAACTCGGGAGGTGGGGAGGTGATCCGAGGTCAAGGCGCAGGTCGGGGTCTGCCGGCAGCACCAGGCAGGGCCGGCTTCAGCGGCCAGCCACCTGCAGTCCCGGCCCGTGCCCATCCTGGAAACCATCCTTCCCGCAGAGCGTGGAGCCACTGGGCCTCCCCGTGCTGAGGGGCAACCTCACGAGGCTCGAAATGTCTGAAAAATGACGCAGGCGTAGCTCCTAGCCCAGGCCCGCGAGGGGCAAAGGCTCCCCAAGCAGAACCACGCGATGCTGGGTTCCTTCCTGACAGCTACCTGCCCAGGCCGCGCCCTGCTCCCTCCACTCTGGGGTCTTTCCTGGGGAGACACAGGCGTCAGTGCCAGCAACGTGCAAGGGCAGCTCAACTCCACCACGGGGAGCTCTCGGGCTGACAACTCCTCGTCTGCGCTCCAGCCCCGACCTCTCGCGAGACCACACCTCTGCCCGCGTGCTCTCAGGGACCGAACTCAGCAGCCCAGCACTAAATTCGTTTCCTCCAGGGAGCCTGCTTCCTCGTCCTGTTGCTAAAATGCGTCCACAACCCAAGCCAGACGCGTGGCAGACGCGCCCAACAGGAGGTCCTGAGTTAACAGTTTCCCTGCTGCCTCGTGGTCCTCGTGGTCCACGGGCCAAGGCCTGGCCTGGGAGGAGAGTGTAGTCTGTTTTTCCACGATGCCACCTCGCACATCAAGGGTGTGACATGAGGCTAGAAAGAGAGGGGCGGGACAATAAGCCACCCTTTGGGGCCCTGGGATTGGTGGGGAGAAAGAGGAAAAGGCGCAGACGAAGCACCAGCGTGAATGGCTGGCAGGTGTGTCCCGAGGGCACCAGCCGCTGGTGGGAAGAGCCAGCACGCGGGGCGGAGGGGGCTGGGCGCCATGGCAGGCGGGGGAGGTCTTCGCACGTCCCCGCACAGCACACCGTGGGGACTGGGACGCTGTGGGCCCCTCCGTCCCACACGGAACCATCCTCCACTAAATCCTGTCCCTTTTCCTTTAAGCAGTGCCATTCAAATTGGTCCTGGTCTCACCTCCTCCACCATCCTAGCTGCGTGTGTCCAGTATTCCCCCCTCAGGGACAGCTTCTCGAAACACGAGTGGCTGTATGGCTTCCTCGAACGAAAAAACACCCTCAAGGATAAATGTCAACCTTGCAACACTGCTAAGGGCAAACCCAGGCCTGCGCTCCCCGTCCCCCCCCCCCCCCCCCCGCCCCCCGCCCCGGCCTGAGCTCCTCCCTCCCTTTCCTCCGGGTCACCCCGTCCCTTTCCCGAGGCTGTGGCAGTGAAGGATCCCACCTTCTCCAGCCTGAGAGCCCCTCGGGACGGTGACACTCCGCAGCGACAGCAGGGAAAGAAGCGGACGGCCATACGTGCGCTGAAGACACTCTGACCACACTGTGCCCTGTCTGCACGCCGCTGCTTTCCTGCGAGATAACCTCTCCCCCGAGCGACCCCGGAATGACGCCCGTCCTCCAGCGTGCTCGATGCCCCTCCGTCCTCCCCCTCCCCCCGCTTAAACCACCGCACACTTAACTCCTCATGTCCAATCACGTCCCGCCTCGTCTGCTCCCAATGACCGCCACCCCCCCTCCTGTCGACCACAGGCTTGACGAGCTCGGAGGGTCGAAGGCCAGCAGCACCTGGACCAGCACAGGCGCCCGAGAAACGTCCGCAAGACCCCACGTCAGACCCCGCACAGGCCTCCTGCGCAGAGTCCTCTAACAATCAACGAAGGCTCCCCGGGCTCGGCCGCGTAGACCCCTCTTAACCACGTACCTGACAAGGTACAGGTGCTCAAGAAACTGGGGCGTCGGAAAGACCGGAAAGGTGAACGGAGAACGCGGGTCCCTCGGAGGGAGCTGCCCGGCCTCTGCGGGAAGGAGCCGCTGCAGGTCCGGCGCCCCCCGCGCCCCCCGGCGCGCCCGCTCACCTGTAGGCCCAGGGAGACACGCTGCGCAGGTTGGTGGGCGGCCGGAAGCGGCGGTCGGCGGGCCTGCCCCCGGCCGGGCAGCTGGCGTTGCGCGCCTGCTCGCGCGGGCCCAGCTGCAGCGTGTGGTGGAAGGCGCCGAGCACGCCGGCCGCCAGTCGCCCGTACAGCTGCTCCAGAAGCTCCTCGGGCCGGTCCGCGCAGCCCCGCGCCCGCGCCGGCCGCCGGCCCGCCCTCGGGGCGCCCTCCGCCC